GTCACCAGCGTGGCATCCCCTGAATGCACACCCGCGTTCTCCACATGCCCAGAGGTGGCGATGGCTGCCACCACGCCATCACAGGCCACAGCATCCGCGTCAGTCTCCTAGTGGGGGAGCGTGGAGGGCCATGTGACGCAGGGCAAGGGACAATTTCCTCTCCTACTTGCCCCAAGATGCTCCCTCAAGCACCCTGGTACAACATATCCTTCCCAGCCCACCGCACCCACACACTTCTATAGCCCCAGAGGGGGAGTCTTCTCCAGGGCTGGGAGCCTGCCCTCCTGCAGACCTTCTTTTGGTCTGCAGCCTCCTACCTTGGCCTCCTGGATGAACTTGGGGATGACCACAAGGTGCTCCTTGGACACAGCTGCTGCTCTGCTCGGGAAGCGCTCCAGAGCACGTGTCCAGTAATTCGTGTTCGCCCTGCCACATCGAGAGCCAGGCTCCTCATTTAAACTCTTGTAGATAGTAAGGCGGTGAAGAGCAGAAGTTTCTCTTGAGCCCACAGGGTATCAGCTGCCTTTAGCTCAAATAATCCGCCTACCATCGAGGCGCATCTTGGGGTGGCTCTTTCTGAACCGCCCACACCGCTACTGTCTTTGCCCCATGTCGAATCTTTGTTACTCGGCTTCATTCCTGCCTCCCACCCTGCCGTCTGCTCCCTCAGCCTCTCTCTCTCCTCCCGTTTTCTTACCATCCTTTGCTTTCTTTACCTACGTCGTCTTCTGCTCTCTACTCACTTTACTCCGTTCTCCCGTGTCCAGCTCTCCCTCTGCTTGGAAACCGTGGAGGTACAACTTACTGTTCCTCTTCTCACTTTGTGCCTCGCGCCTGCAATGGCAGTCAGTAGGTCTCTCTGATCCATGACTGCAGCGCCAGCTGTACAGCTCCGTTCTTTCCCTTCTCTTGTCTTCGCCTGTTTTCCGCCCATTTACCCGCCTCTCAGTAAACAGGCTGAATTTCTCCTCTCTCCCCCTTTATGAACCCATTTCCTCTCATCTCACTTCTCTGATGCTGTCCTACTGTGTGTGTGTCCTTTCTCTCAGCTCATCTCAGCACATTTTCTATCGGACAATTCCTTTCCCCCACCTCTAACTCTCATCTCAGCACATTTTCTATCGGACAATTCCTTTCCTCCACCTCTATCTCTTCGAATTAACTCCTCCTTCTTATTTAGCATTGACTCCTGCTTCGCTTTTATTCTTAGCTCTTTTCATTCACCTAAAAATCTGTTCCTCTGGGGTTTCCGTCTTCGCTCTCTCTCCTCACACGGGTCCCTCGACTTCGCTTCTTCGGCCATTTCTTTCCACTCTCGATGGCACTCGTCCTCACTCTGACTCTTCTATGTCTTGGTTACGGTTATCCCTACGTTATTTCGCTCACTAATTGACTGAGAATGTATCGAGCGTTTCCCGTGAGACAGACACACTGCAGGCTCAGAAACGAAGCTCTGCTTCAAAGAGCTCATGATAGATTTTGTAATGCTCGAAAGTCAAATGGGTAGCGGCTGTCGGAAGAAATCTCACTGAGGGTATAAAAAGCAGGCAGGCTCTCAACGGCTAACGAGCTTGTTTAGATTATTTCGAATAATCTCATTATTTAATAAATATTTAACTTTTAATAGATTTTAAAGTTTAAAAGAAAATAAAATCTTAGGCTTAAATTTTAAAATACATTTAAATAAATATGACTTTAAGTATTTTTAAAATTTAAAAACCTTTAAATGATTGGATATGTAAACATTTGAATCTGACACCAGAAGGCTTTTGAGGTAATGAGTCTCAGCCTGCACTGAAGAAATAAACAACCTAGGACCCAGGGCACAGAGGCCATCTGTGGCTCATCGGTGTGATAATCCATCCCCCTGGCCTTGGCTGTTTTATAATCTACATTGTATGTTACTTTATAATGCCTGTGTTTGGAGCCAGTGATAAAACATCTTTAGGATCCAGAATCCTATAAGGACACAAACTAGGACTTCAAAGACTGTTCGCAGCCAGTCTGCTCACTTAGTGGGGGAACCTGAAGGACGGATTCAAAAAGAAGATGCTGACTAGTCTGGTTAGTTAGCTGTGACGTTTTGACGCCTTTGGGGCATGTCCCCAACTCTCTGTAAAACTTGGCAAGTGTCACCTACTCACTGGCAGCAGGATGTGTTAAGAATAAAGACCCCCTCCCTTGGCAGCCAACATGTCATGTAGGGCTAGGGTGACACACCAGTGGATGCAGTCACACCGGTGAGGATAGGAACTCTCAGATAAGAGGCACAGCAACAGAGTAAAGTCAGAGGTGCCCTGCAGGGCAGTCGCTTGCCTCCTGGGAATCACCCAATGTGCTCCCTGGTGGAGGGGCAGTTCCGTCTATCTCCTGGGTGTCAGGAGCAGGTCCGAGGTGGTCCACAGTGCCTTTAGTGCAGCAAAGTATATGGACGGTAGATGAGGACACCTCTCTCCCCTGTGACATTTTTTACTAAATAGAATGTGTTAATTAAATCTATAACTTTAAACCATTTACTTGCATTATTTTGAATGTTATCCATTAAATGATGATGTCTGGTAGAGGTGCTCTAATAAAGGGAATGGTCTCGTTTCATTTTCTGTAGTTTATAGTTAGCCCCCACTCATTACTAGTGGCTTCAAGCACAGGCCATCCCAAGGAAAAAAAAAGGTCAAATGATAGGAATTGGTGCCCCTTCTTTAACTAGGTCAGCTATGAGAGGCCATTATCCTTCAGTGCCTTGCCTTACTTGTAAGGGAAGGTTAACCAGCTCCCACCAGACGCTGCCCACCAATAGAGCTTCCTGCGGCTGAGGCAGAAACGAGACCCAGTCTGCACTGGCGAACACAAGTCAGCGATGGGCTGTCCTAGCCTTGCAGGGATGTCCACAAAATGGTCAGGCTAAAATAACGCTAGCTTTATTCCTGTGGTTTCTCTAATTCTTTTCATTCCAAATCCAAATTGTAGTCGTCCTTTTAATGAGTCTTCCTCAAATTACTTGATTTGTATGTGACATCTATATTGTCCAGAGACCCTGACTGATATGAACTCCAGCTCCAAGGAGACTATTGCTGTGGTTAGCGATTCTCTGGACAGAATGGTTTCTCTGTTTCTGTTCCACCTGCACCTGGCTGAGACAGGCAGATACCCCCATCACCCTTCTCCAAAGGGTAGACTTTCCTTCAGTTCACCTACAAGGATTCTCACTTTTCCAAGGGTCCTGGATCCTACAGATCTCTGTCCTCACCTTCAACTCGGCAGAAGCTCTGTATTCCATCATGGAGTCCTTTAACATTCTATGAATAAGATAAAAGCATTTGCTGACTTTTCTGAATTTCCTTCTTTTTTTTTTTCATCCCTAACTCAGAAGGTTTCTCTTCTAGTTCAGCTACCTTAACCATGGATTTTAAACTTTGGTTTTGCATTTGCGAATTTGAACGATGTTTAGGCGCTGTGTGTAGAAAATTTTCTCTACATGTTTTGACCATTTATTTCTGGAAAATGAAAGCCTAACAGTAATTCAGTTTTAGCTCCCTTTAACCTAAGTTGTTCAGAAATCACAGACCCTGTGGGATCCTATTTTCCCGTGTCCTTAGATCACATTCTTTGTGCTCATGTACCTGTATTCACATATTTTACATATTTCCTCCTCTATCTCATCTTCTACCTTGGTCTCCACTGCCACCTAGTACCTGTATCTATAACAGAGATAATAAATTCTAATAAAGAAAATGGTTTCGCTGGCTCTCTTCAGTCACTGTGGCTACTTTTAAATCAATTTTCTAAATGGCGATGAAAAGGATCTTTTAAAAACACAGGTCTAAAAAGTATGTCTTATTTTCTCCTTTGTTGAGAAACAAAACGAACCACAAACACCGAAATAATTACTCTTACCGTTGCACTTAATATGTCTTAAATATTTGGGTTATAGCCTACAATTATCTGTGTGATTCGATACCTTCCGACTTTCCACTCCTGTTTTAGTACATACTCCTCATCACTTACTTCAGCCACATAGACTTTCCTTGATTGTGAACTAAGCCAAACCCTGACTGCCTCAGAGCTTTCCCAGGTGCTGTTTATAATGCATCTTACGTCATCTGCTCCACCCAACCTTATCTTTCTCCATGGACCCTTTATTGGGCTTCCCTTCCTTTTTCTTCCTGGTCACAGCTTCAAGTTGATTTCTCCGTAGAGGGGATGGTGGGCACTTTAGCAGCCTAGAAACCCACACAGTGCTTTAGAGAAATCTCCCACTGAGATTGCATTACCATCAGAGTACTATGTACCTACCCGCTTAGGTCATCTTTCTTCTAATCCTGCCCTCCCCCTAAACCAGGAGAATAGACCCCTGTGTCTTAGGCTTGATTTATCTGACACTCTCCCTCAGAACTCTGAATCCTGAGCTAGAGATCCAAGGACGGGGGCGGGGGGGTCAGTTCTTTTTCACATTCATTATAATGGCTGTGGTGATATGCAAATCAAGACAGTTCTGTGATTTAGCCTCTGCTGTATTTTCTATTTCCTAATCTTTTTGAGAATTTATATTCTGAGTCTCTTCTAGTTACCATTAGATATTAACCTCTATGTTTTTCTAATATATTCCTTTTTTACAGAATTTATTTTTGGTCACTTACAGGCAAGGACAGGCTGACTGATACAGCCGCCTTCACTTTTAAACCAGCCTCAATCCAAATTCATACTTTCCCCCATAATATGCTTCCCTTGAATTGTTTGGGATTACATATTTGTATGACGATTCATAATTTACTACCTTAGTATTTTATACTCTCTGATGGCGGGGACAAAGGATACGTTTCTTCACACTCTATCTGTAGTTTGTGATCTGTAGTATCTCTCACATCGTCTGATTTTCTACAGATAGTTAAATTACTGCTTCTTTCCCAATGTCACTAAAATAATCATTCTGGGTTTGCAAACAGAATTCTCTTTACTACATTGAGGGAAAGGATGCAAGGTTAAATGCAGTAGTTTCCATATTACATATTCAAAGAATACATCACCAGAATGCTGGATTCACGACTTCTTGACACCACGCATACTATGCTCACGTTATCACATAATGCTTTGGAGACATAGCTGCCAACAGAAAAACAACATCATCAGTGGACAAAAAGGAAAGCAGTTATATCTATTGATGATACTAAATCTGAACCTGACGAAGATATAAATATCCTTCCCAAATGGTCCTTTGATCACAGAAGTTACTTTTAGATTTGGTTTTGAGTAACTACATGGATATGGCAAAGTTATGTTGATTATCATTTGTAGGAGTAGCAATCTCAACCTGCTCTGAGGTATCACTGCCAGAATTATTAATCTCTCTGATTTGCTAGATTATCTTATTTAATAATGATATGAGATGATTTTTTTATTTTAAAATGGAATTCTTTTCCCTTTGACTATAACTGCTCTACTCTAGGCAAATACCATAAAAGAAACATGTCTCCTTCTACATGGAGCAATGGGGAAATGGTGGAGCATGGCCCTGTCAACCATTCTCATCCTGTAGCAATGAGGTAGAACCCTTACCCCTCTCCTCCAGGAGCCCAGAAACTATGGGGGTGGAGTCCTGTTGATCATCTCTCCTTGTACTAACCCAAGCAAAGGCAGCATATTTCCCCCTCCCCTACAGAGACTGTGAGGTGAAGCCCTGGTGACAAGCTCCTTCTCTGCACTAGGGTTGAGTGGAGGTGGTACCCCTGCCTCTCCCCTCCAAGCATTGCAGAGCTAACACCTAAAAACTCTTGAAATTTGGTAAACCTACAGATTTAAAGCTGATCAAACTCAAACAGGTTAAATTTAAAAAAAAATTACATCAGACACACCAGATTTCTGAAAATTAAAGACAAAGAAAATAACTCGAAACCAGCCAGAGAAAAAAGACACATCATTTATAGAGAAACAACAATTTGAATGACAGTGAATTTCTCATTGGATACCATGAAGACAGAAGGAAGTGGAACAACGTTTTTCAAATGCGGAAAGAAGAGAAGTTAATAAACCAGTTAAAAGACAGATCTTGGCACAGTAGAAAAGATCATAACCCAACTAGATGCCGTCTACGAGAAACTTACTTCAATGATAATGATGTGAGTAGATTGAAAGTTAAAAAATGGAAAAACAAAATAACACACAAATATTAATCAAAAGAAAGCAGGAGTAGCTAAATTAATAACGGGTAAAGTAGGCTTCACAGCAAAGCAGACAGTGAGGGACAAGGAGAGACATTACACAAAAATAAAAGGGCCCGTTAACCAAGATGTGATAGTATTAAATGTATATGCACCAAACAACAGAGCGGCAAAATACATGAACTAAAAACTTATAGAATTAAAAGGAAAAAATAGACAAATCTACATTTACAGTCGAAAAATTAAAAAATCTCTCATAATTGATAGAACCACTAGATCAAAAATCAGAAAGAATATGGAGAAACTAAAGAAGATAATCAGCCAAGGTGATCTAATTGCCATTTATGGAACAGTCTCTCCAACAAGAGTCGGATACACATTTTTTTTAAGCACACAGTTTCTTATAAAATCAAACATACCATATGAGCCAAAGTTTTACTTTTAGGTAAATACACGAACACCTTATCACGAAAGTGTATAGCAGTTTTATTCATAATCATCCCAAACTAGAAACAGCATAAATATCCCTCAACTGATGAAGTGATAAACCATAGTACATCTAGACACAGTCCATCTAGACACTACTGAACAATAAAAAGGAGTGAATCACTGATATACTCAACATGGGCGAACCTCAAAAACGCCATGCTCCATGAAAGACGTTGAACACAAAGGCCTATATACTCTATAATTTTAGAAAATGTAAACTAATTTATAAATTTAGAGATAGAAAGTAGACCAGTGGTTGCCTAGTGCTGAGATGGAGGGAGGGACAGATTGAAGTTGAACATGAGAAAGCTTCGGGGGGGATAGAGATATTCTGTGGTTTTATTGTGCTTTTGATTACAGGACTTTATATTTTTGTCAAAACTCAAACTGTGTGTTGGACAACTGAATTCTATTTGGGGAAGCCGTCAAATTTCCCTGGTTTGTAAAAAAATATTCAGATGGCTAAAAGATAAATCTATACAGTATGGGACACCTTATATGAAGGGGAAGTACTTAAAATTATTGAAAAGAAAGTATTTATGAATGATAGCAGATGAAGATTTATTAGATAGGATAGAGCATACAAATATGAAAGAAAATCTGCTACATTAAATTAATCTTAATTAAATTAAAATATTTAATTAAGATATTTTTGTCTCAGAAACACTGGAAATAACTTCTTATCTGAACAGAGATTTTCCCCATTCTTTTTTTCTTTCTTTCCTTTTCTAAAATTACAACTTCACAATATTCCATTATATGCATATCCCATAGTAATTTAGACAATCTCTTATGTTCGGGTCGTTTCCAGCATTTGGCAATCACAGCTAATGCTGCAATAAACAACCAATATATTTGAATCATTAGAGGTGTATTGTTAGAGTATATTCCATTTAGTGGCATTGGCAGTTCAAAGGATATATGTATATGTATTTTGTTAGACATTGCCAAAAATCAACATTATAAAGACAAGTGACAATTTGGAAGAAAATATTTGTAAAGTATATAAAAGACAAGACCTCTATGTGTAGTATGTAAAATATCAAGAAAAATAATTTAGATGAAGGCAAGCAATCTAGAAGAAAAATAAGTAAAATGAAGATAAAGGCAGCTCATGAAAGAAGCAACCCAAATGACTAATGAACTAAAACTAACAAACAAAAAACCTTACAAGTAAAGACAGGATATTAAGGATATAAACTGCGAGCCATTTTGGAAAGCCTTTTGAAATCTATTGCAAAGGCTGTAGATATACTCCAGGAACTAGCAATTCTCTTTTGGAGCATAAGTTTATTCATATATATCCTCGAATAATCTTTGAAAAATCCTATTATCCCTTCATTATTTTTTTTACGTAGAAATGTTAAATCTTTAGGAAAAGTTTAAGTCACAAAACAGGACTTACCAGCTTGGTGTAGAATCGTCCCTTCTGTGTTCTAGGTGACAACAGCTTTTGAGATATGGATAACGACCTTCCTCTTCCCACATGTACATATGCAAATAGTTATCCATGGATGTGGTGAGGACATGGAGAGAATCCTTCAAAGGATACCCAGAAGTGAGTGGCCCAGAGTCAGAGTCAGAGAAATGAGAATCGGGGAGAAGAATCATACATACCACCCATAAGTTGCAGATGGATCTCTGGTGGTCGTCAAATTGTTGCAACAGGAGACCATTGATGGTGAAGAGAAACAGGCGTGACCCACTCTCAAAAATAATCATATTTGCATCGCTGACTCCCATCCAAATAGGACTCTCCATATGAACTGGCAACAGGAAACTTGCGACCTGATGTGCTGATTTCATGTAAAACACATATGCACACGCTTACAGGCAAACTTGGGGTTATTGAGTCAGAACAGTATCCTTACCCCAAATGAAAAAATACCCTCTCTAATTCCATGAGACTTCAGTCCAGTGAGGAAAATGAAGGGTGAACCAATGGCCTGAAAATCCATGTCACTCATCATGGTGATGGATCTGTGACACAGGAACAGAGGGCCGCGGACAATAAATAATAGCTCAGACACTGAGGGAAGGGACGATGGAATCCAGGCCCTAAAGCATGATGAGCATCTAGACAAGTCTGCTAAGAGGGCACCGTGGAGTGCAGAGGTCAGAAGTGTGGGCATTAGAGTCAAACGGCATGAGTTAGCCGACAGCGAAAGAAATCCCCTGCCCTTTGCACAGACTGACCTATTCCTAGACATTAATAGCTTAAAACAAGGACATGTGTGACGGGGAGAAGCGAATGTTCCTAAGGTGGCACGGACTACCTTGGACGACCGTTTCACCCCCAATCCTCTCAATGGTCAGATCGAAAGTGGTGAAGCCTGTCTTTCTGAAAGAGGCTCTTCGAAACATCAGCGTTATCCTGTTGTACCTCTTCGGGGCCCAGCTGGCTCTGCAGCACGATGAAAACGGGAGAGAGACAGACAGAGGGATTTTGCCTTCTGACGGTCTCAGTAAGCACTCCGCATAAAATACCTATGGAGAGATGGTTGCACATGTAGTCAGGCGACAGGGGAAGTTATAGCATCTCCGTACAGGAGTGACTCCAGAAAAGCCTCCTTAAAAATCCTCAACTGTCATCAAAGCTTTATAAAGAATCTCAAGAAGCACTGAGTAGTCAGTCGCTGTCTTCCTACCCTGCCTGTCCCAGTCAGCCATACAGCAGAGTCCCCTAAACTTCTCTTCTAGCTTATCAAGAGATTACAAAATCATCTGGCCACATTGGACCCCGATCAAGTTGCAGCTGGCTAAGTCGATTTTTCCTTCTTGGAGAGCTAGCCAAGGATTGCTCTGACTTCACCAGCTCCTTGCTCTCTGGTGCCCAGTCCACATGTGCCATGTAAAATGTCCTGCTCCAAATGTCACTTTCTCAGAGTGACATTCAGAAGCGGATGCGTTTTTATTTCCTTCTGGACTTCTTTGTACTTTCCAGCCAAGATAGAGAAAAATAAAGAAGGAAAGCAAAAGCAAACCAGGTTATGAAAGATCCTCATTTCCTGATCCTCTCTCTCTCTCACTCCTCCACCCGTTTGGCTGATTCAGGCTTCATGAACAAACTTTCATTAATAAATATTTGCCTTTGCAACTGGATATTATTCCTTCAAAGACCATTGCTTCTTGGCCCCAGGAATGGATTCCTCATGCGATATGGCCTTTGAGAGGAGGCAGCGGGCTGTCTGCTCCTCCCTGGGCTCTGCGGTTTCTCTAACGCTTCCTGACCTGACCTTCCTAACGCGGACTGTCCTATCCCACGGTCAAAGCACACAGGGCGGCACCTACCTTTGGCAAGATGTGTTGATGTGCCCCAGAGGCAAAGACCCATCGCTTGTTGGGAGAGCCATGTAGCAGATCCACACTGTACTTAAAGGCATTAACTTTAGAAACGCTCCTTAACTCCGGCACTGTCAATGTGTAGATGTCACCTTCAGAATTGCCTACCTGAAACCAGAACGAAGCAGCACCGCTGTGTCAGTGGAAAGAGACGTGAGTCCTAAAGCGCACAGGAGGCAGTGCTGTCGGCTACAAGACGCACCACCGTTTCTGCAATCGCATAATGGAGACAGATCGAAGCCTTTGTCCAGCTGCCCCACAAGGTTGCTGGGATGACCCCAAGAAAAAAAAAAAAAAACTTTCCAAGTCCCAAAGCAGTCTTCTCCGGGAGAGTTACTCATTGGCACATCAACGCTACGCTTTTTTCTCAATGTCTCCCCAAACCCCCATCTCTCCCTCCGTAGTCTCTTTCCAAGTTCATGTACTATACAATAATACACTTGAAAGATGAGACATAGATATGAAATAATTCAGGAAGGTCTCTAGAAGAATGACTGGATAATTGTACCTGAGGTAGGTCGAAGGCCAAGAGAGTATAAGTTACCAACATACAAGTATGTTCGTATGGCCAACGTTCATCGGTATTTTGCGACTCTCAGGGAATGTGGTAGAAATGACTCCAAGAAGACAGATTGCATTGTGACAGTAATGAGGCCGTGACACCCACCAAGGCAGCAGGCGTTTTGCTTCATGGGCCCCCTCCACATGCAGGGCTCACTTACCATCAGGAATGGGCCATCCTTTGTGAGAAAGGCTTCCAAGGAAAAACAGGCCTTAGGCACGGTGAGCGTCGCCAGAGCATCCTCATCCCGGCAATTCCACACTTTGACAGTTCCCTCCAAGTCCACGGTGAATGCAAGATGCATCTGAGGGAGGGTCTCCAGAAGCCTGATGCTGGATCGCTGGACTGGGCTTGACCAGATCATAATGCCCTAGAGAACGAGAATGCCCCTGCATGCATTCACGGACCTCTTCACACCTGCCACTCTTTCATCCTGCCCGTGTTTATTCAGCAGCCTCCTCCAAATCGGATCCATTTCTCTCTTCAGGGACTAGAATAAGAAAGTTCTACTAAACATCTCAGTGAGTTGAGGGGTAGCGAAGAAGAAAAAGGAACTATGCGATATATTCAAAGGCAGGAACTCACGATATGATGGGCATAAAGAACGATCAGACTCCCTGGGCTCAAATCGATTCAGTCTCTTACTACCAAGTCACTTTCCACCACGGCTTCTTACAGGAATGTTGGACTGCGTTCCACAATACATGAAACATACTTAGAATTCTGCCTAGTACATAGTAGGAGTTCGAGGGGTATCAACTATCATGATAATCATTACTCTATCATCAATCTTGTAGATTGCACACAAGAAGAAAGAATTTCTCTTCTAGACTTTAATCTCATTAAAATTGTAAAATGTAACATAAAAAGAATACAAACATAAATGTAAAGTTTAATGAGAAATTACAAAGCAATTAACGTAACTATTTCTGAGCCCTCTTAAAGCCCCCTCATACTTGCTCTATTTACTACCCCACCACCCTCCCCAGATATAAATCACTATTTTGATTCCTAACACTATAACAGGTTGTCTGTGTAGCGTTATCCACTGCTGTGTAATAAGTCATACCCAAACTGGACAGCTTAAAACAATAAGTTTTTATCTCATGGTTTGTTTGTTAGAAATCCAAGTGCGGCTTGGCTAGGCAGCTCTGGGTCAGAGTGTCCCATGTGGTTGAAGCCACGTTCCACTTTCAAGGTGGTTCACTCATCTGGTTGACACGTTGCTGCTGGCCACTGGCAGAAGTCCTCAGTACTTCGCCACATCAACCTCTCTGTAGGGCTTTTCGGTGTCATAACATTGTGGTTAGCTTTCTAAGAGCCAGGGACTCAAGAGAGAGGAAGTGTCTTTTGTGACATAACTTTAGAAGTTACACACTGCAATTTCCACAATATCTTACTGGGTACAAAGGTCAGCACTATTGGATGTGGGAGGGAACTACAAATGATCATTAATATACTGTGGGACAAAGAATATTGGGGCCATCTTAGAGACTGGCTGATAGAGTCCACCTCATATCCCTAATTATTCACCTCCCTCTCCCACGCAAGATACACTCACTATTTCCCAATGCCCCAGATATCTTACCATTACAGCATCATCTCAAAATCTAGTATCTCATTGTTGAATTAGGTACAGGCATAGAGGAGGCTCTTTAGATTTAGTCCATCTTAAATGTGAAAAACTTAGAACTAAATATACAAGTCGTCCGTCCCCTACATCGCCAAAATACAAGGGTAGGGCAGGCATAGGATAACATCATACACGCTCACATTCAAAAAAGGGGAAAATGGAAAATGGGGAGAGGGGGAAGCACCAAGGAATGGATGCTACACAGAAAATTTGAAATCCAGTAAGGTGCATGCTGGTAATTTGCCGATTAGGAGTCAAAGCCTGGCAAAGATTCTTAAGGATTTCTGGCTCCACTCTCTAGGCTCTTGGCTCTGTCTTCTGAGTCATCCTTCCCTTTCCATATGTGTTGGCCCAGTTTTGCAGCTGAGTAGTTATTACAGCCTGCTTCTTGCCTGTAAAAGTTCGGGATTCAAAATCTCTTTTCCTTTTGTGATATTTCAACCCCTCTGGGCCCAAGCTGACAGTGTTTCTGCCAATATAATTGTCTCAAAAATGTTGTGGCTCTCCAAAGAACCTTACAGGAGTTTATATTGTTAGTCAAGAGCCACCCCCACAATTCTTCGAGATTAATCCTTTCGATACCTTGAGCCTCTTCTGCTGGTGCTGCCGAGGTCAATGCCTTACACTTCTTAGAAGTTCTTTCGCTTGACTTAGGAGTTCTATCAGTTCTCTGAGGCACCTCCTCAAATCTTTCCGTGGTCCAACAAAGAACGTTGCAGCCACCTCTTTGGCTTCAAGTTTGTAGTACGGTTTACCAACATTGGCCTGGATTAATCCTGCTTGGAATCCATTTCTGAAATTTTAGCATCATTCGCAATCTAGAAAGGCTGGGAATCCTCAAAACCAGCAAGCCTTGGCCTCCGTTATTCGACAGTCCCGACTTCACCCTCGCCCTCTTCTCTTGCATTTTACTACAAGCAGCAAGAAGGACCCTGGAGGAAGGGGGATCCTCGTTATACAGGGGCACACAGTTTGGCAACACTGTCACCCATAGTAATGTGGAAACATATCTAGTGAATTGCATCATCTTGCCAAGGAGAAATCCAGGCAGAATGCTGAATGAAGGCTGTCTGAAGTTAGAGGATTCACCTCCAAGATGGCTTACCCACATGATTTCAAGTCGGTGTTGGCTGTTGGTGGGAGGCCTGAGTTGTCTGCCATGTAGACCTGTCCATGGGGCTTCTCGAATGTCCTCGGGGACATGATAACTGGTTTCCCCTAGAGCAAGTTATCCATGAGAGTACCCTTCTAATTTTTTCCCCAGCTTTATTGAGATATAACTGACAGATAACATTGTGTAAGTTTAAGGTAGGAGCATTCTTCTAGACTCATCATTTCCCTCAAATATTTACAAAAGGGTGTTTATCATACATCAGAAGATCTTGTGTTAGAAAGTGTCATTATCTAATTTCTATGGGGAGGAGAGAGAAATCCAAGCAGGGGGAAAAATCAAGATCACTTGGAGACTTCCAACTCGCTCTCCAGTGCTTTATGCATTGCATGTGCTAGTCTTGATAAATAAGACAACATCCGTGCCCTGTTGGAGGTGATCCGAGTTAGAAACCACTTTCTGAAAAAGCCAATATAACCAATGCCAGTTGTTGACAGAGAGGCAGCAGAACAGGTAATGAAGAGGCACGATGCCAATAGATTGTGAAATAAACAAAGTCACGCCACGTTACCCATAGAAAATAAGTCCTTGCACGTTTATATCTAGAAACGCATATTTAAAAATAGATTCTCTGTGTGTCTATAGTCTAAATGAAAAGGTTATAGATTACCAATTAGAAGACTTAATTTGAAACTTTGTTTCTGTTGTCAATTCCGAGTATTACTTTCCTCCCAGCTCTTACTTCACCTGTGTAACAGGACTGACACAGGTGTGCATCGCCTGTGCACCTTATCGACCAGACTCACCTCCTGCACGTCCCAGGCATAAAGCATGCGCTTTGAAGACACCGTGCAAAGGACTGACTTCTCTCGTCCATTCATTTGGAGGCTACTTCCTGAGAGATAAGCCATAGGTTCCAAAATTCCTAGAGGGAAACACAGACAATACTTGGCCACCCCATAGCTGAGGGATTATCCAATTGAATTAAGAGAATTCTGGAAAGATAATTTTAAGTTTTCTCGCAACCCTTATGGAGAAGAGGATGGAAATTGGTCTTTGGAGTTATTCGAACATGGATTCCCATTGCAGACTGGCCATTTGGGAGGTGTTGGCCAATTTGTTTTTCCTCTTTAATCTCAGTTTCCATAGATACGAAATGGAGATAAAAATCTCTCCACCAGAGAACCGTTCTGAGTTTTAAAAGAGGTACCAGAAATAAAGTGAGCGTTAGAATGTCTGTTATCTAAAAGTTTCCTTTTTCTTTAAGATTTTTATTCTAGGAGGGACGGGAAGCCTTGGGGGAAAGGGAGTAACAAGGCCTGGTTTTGTGTTATGAAAACACCACTCTGGCTTCTCAGTGAGGCATAGACTGCAGGGGACAAGGGGAAGGCGGGGCTCGCTATCACGACAACCCATCCCGTTAAGTTTCAACTCCCTTTCTCGTCACCAAACGGGAAGACAGAAAAATATATAGTGGATTTCCTACAACAGGTTTATCATGTGCCCCTAGAGTGTCCTGTCCGCCTACCGAGGTTGCCCGCCGCTTCCCTGTAGAGAAAGTCCTCTGGCTGAGCCAACGCCATCCGACGCTCGCGTTTCCTCTGGCTGAGAAAGAAGTGCTTCCACGTTGGCGCACCCAGGCACTGATAGGAGAAGTGGCAAAAGCTCCACTTCTCTAGACACAGGTTTCTGGAAAGAGTCACGGTCCTGCGAGGCTGCCCCCCGCCAGTTCGCCTGCTCGGCACCATGCGAACCCTTTGCCCGCGGAAACCCTCACTCACGCCTCTCACCACACAGCCGCACTCAGGCCCGGGTACAAATGCAGCATCCTCCTCCCCGCTGAGAGACACCTGCCTGCCCACCTTACCCTACCCATTCCCTTGCTCACCTCCACAGGTGGTCATTCTCTGCAACCTTATTCCAGTACTGAGGGAGAGAGAAGATACAAGCCGGCGATTGGTACCCAAACGTCGGCTCCATCTCTGTTATCATTCATTCCGGGAGCAAGGCCCACACCGGTTAACCGGCCACCAGCCCCCTTCCCCAGTCTGGGACTACAGGGACACGGTAACAGCAGAGACCCATCACGGCCAGTATAGGCCCTTGGTATTTCTGGAAAGCTCAGAGTGGATTCCCCAGGGCTTGAAGTGGGAACCTCAAGGGCCATTTAATCAGCATGACTCTTGCATACCAGCTTTCCATTTTCATTTAACAAAATACGAGGCCCTCGAAGTGGAGGAGGCTGACCCCTAACACTCAGTGTATCGCTCTGCTCCTCTGCAAACTGGTGCTCCGAGTGGCCAAGAGAACTAATTGGTCAAGAGAAGGGTTCAGGTGCATCGGACCTGAATGGGCAGGCCCGAACGGGTGAATTTAAGCAATGAAGGAAGGTGGTGTGGGTGTTATGCTGGGGTGGCTGAGATCCCAAGACCGAGGGAGAGTAGTGACCGGGGTCAGAGTGAGCACTGACAGGGTGGGCGGCTGTGGGGATGGGGCCGGGCAATGTGGATGGAGCGCCGGATGAAGAGCATTCACCTTGTTCACTTGGCAAACCTGCAGCAAGCTGAACGCATCCAGGAAGGAGAAGATTTTCAACAACGGTACTTCAGGCAATAGGGTGTCCATCTTACGTGGCCGGAGTCCACACCCAGTCTCCTTTCTCCTCTACGGGATGCTCTGAATTTAAAGGCCTGGCCCAGGTCTGCAGCACTTGGGAGGGTTTCCACCCACAGCCCATCTGGGTCTGATACAAACAGGCTGCAGGTGCGCCGACCCTCAGCCTGCCCTCCGCTTCCGCCTGTGTCCAGGGACTAGAGCCACACAGCTGAGGGCGTCCCTCCCGACCCTCACTCATTTGTGTTCTTGTTCAAATGCCTTTAACACCGCGTTGTTTTGCACTGTGAACTGATAGCTCAGGACCTTGGGCAGCTCTAGCTGCCGAGGAACTTGTCGGGACTCTAGGAGATTTCAACTAACGCCCATTCGTCAAAGTTTCTATGTGACGTTGTTTAAGTGGCAAATCGCCGGAGTAGGGAATCTGCTTCCCACATGGATATGTCTACTTTGGGATACCGAATCTGGCCAGTGGGGCCTGTCTCCCAGCACCAAGGTAGCCCCCGGCTTTCTGCCTTTGTGCATTTAACTTTCCAGTGGAAGGAGAAAGTACCGGCCAAACAGGTGGCTCCACTGATGCCCAGGCTAAGGGCACAGGCCTGGTGTGAGATGGCTCTTACGGTCAGTGCCTTTCCCTGTGACTTTCTCCCAAGAACCTGACAACTGATTCCCGCTTTTCCGATAGGAGTCCCTCTGCGAGGCTCAGCGGCCATGACCTTTCTCTTAAACTGCTGCCTCCGGCATGAACCACAGTGGTGGTGCTCAGAAGTACCATTTTTTTCTGCAACGTTATCTGCTCTATCACCCCAAAAAAGGAATGGGCTTGTCGCAGACCATTAATTGTCCTCCTCTTCAGAATTTGGAATGGAAAACTTTTCACGTCGACAGGCCCATAAAATACAAATCTCACAACTATGGGGAGACCACACTTTTCATTTTGCTAATTAGATTTATAGAGAACTGGTTTGAAGAGAATGTGGTCTAAAAAGAAAGAAACTGTCATTTAAAAAAATCCTAGTTTAAAGAGAGCTCAGGGTAGTCTTATGGTATCTTTTACATCAGTAATTCTAGTTCTTCCGAAGTCTTTGGTAAAACGTGTCAAGAAGAAGCCAAATCGTGTGATGCGATCTTGTCCTTATGCCTCTGTTCCCTACCATCCTGGCCGTCCAAACCCTGGCTTCCTTGCCATCCACGAGTTTCCATTTTGCCAGTTTATTTTGCTCATTTCTCTGTCTCTTAGCAGCGACTCTGCCAGACCTCGTGCCTGGCTCCCTCACGCCATTACCGCCCAATGCCAATATCAGATAAAGAACTTTGGCCGTCCGGTTCACTTCCTTTTGGCACTGGCCCACTCGGTTCTGGTTGACCAGGCAGATCTCTGACGATGTCATACAGATTTTCTTCTAATCTTATTTCCCTTCTAATCTGTTTTTCATGGGTCTCCCACAAACCGCTCCATCACAGGCAGAAAAGGATGGCTGGATTCTTGGTTTAAATGATGTCTATATCCCGACGAGTCCCCTATTTATACATCGTTCTCTGGGATTTAATGTGGTTTTAAAACTATGCAGCCTGTTGTCTTAACGTCCGTCTGTACAATGATGTTTAAAGGTATCTCGGACTTCACATGTTTAAAACAGAATAATTTCTGGTCCCACAAATGTACATTTCCCCTGTGTTCCCACGCATCGTAAATGTCACATATTCCCTCTCTTGCTCAGGACAAAACTCTCAAAAGTTTTTCTGGATTTCTCTTTGCTTCTAATCTTCATCTTCTCTTATAGTCCCCATCACATCCTTCCCATCTCAGCTTAAATACTACCTCCTCATCAAGTTTTTCCTAAGATAATACTTCCCATCAAGTTCTTGTTACGCTATTTTATTTGTCCCCGTTACCCTTAACAGTAATTAAATTGTAAATAAAGTAAATTCACTTGTTTATCTGTTCATTGTCTCTCTCTCTATAGAACATAATTTCTTTGATGAAAGGAATCTGTCTTTCTGATTCACTTCTGAATCAACAGAGTCCAGGCTTGTTTCTGGAAACGTAAGATTTAATTATAATGTGATGAGCAAAGGAATGGATGAATACATTCTAAGCTAATGGAATTGCAAGTATTCTGAACGCCATGGTTACTAACAGCCACGGGGAATACAGAAGAGCTCCTGCTTGATGTAAGGGCAGATATAAATGAAACAGGAAGCTTCCTTTTCCCTGCTGAAAATAAGGAAGTGGTTTTCTTCCCTTTTCTTAGAGCATTTGCTTTAGGAATCTTATCATTATAAATTCTTTCTCTTCCTCTTTGAAATGTATATAAATCATTTTAGAAGTTAAATAAGCCTCTTGCCAGCTTGATGACTCAGAAACGTCTTTCTCAAGGACCTGGGAGCCATCTCTTTAAGATGCAAACATTACGGAAGCAGCACCCCAAGGGAGACAGCACCCCTGTTGCCCAGTGTCCATGGTGGGTACCCTGCTCCCCGTCACCTGCTTGTCAGTGTGTGACTTTACCATGTGGTTTCGTAGCTCCTCCCATCAACGTGAGGCCTAGTTGTCTACTCCTGTTATCAGCTCTGGCTTTGTGACTTTCTTGGCTAGTAGTCACACATAAGACCCAGTGTATGTGGCAGCCTGTAGGTGATGGGTACTATTTATGACCCCACCTAGATGCAAAGGGAATTGATACCTCTGAAATAGGGAAGGAAAAGATGATTTTGTGACATTCTTCCATATAGAATCTACTCATCTGTTGAAATTTAATTTCATTATCTTTCTGGTGGAAAATTCTACCCACCCAATAGCTACTTGGTATTTAAACTGCCCTTTGGAAAAAAAATAATAAAAATAAATTGTCTTTTGGAGCTACCTATGATTTTCCAAGGTCCTTTTTTTTAAATATCAGCCTTTTAAAAACTATAATTCTACTTTATTACTGATACACTTTCTCCTATGTCAAAAAATAATTTAAGAAAACTGTATCTCTTCATAACTAGATGTTTCAGTCTATCTCAATTGGGTTGGCTTCATCCTCCTAGTGAAAGAAAATGAGCAACTCTTACGCCATGTGTGTATAGATGCCCATGGCTGGCATATATGATCTCATAATCATAAAGATGTTTCTAATGAGAAAATATCTTTTCCTGAAATTAATAAGAATTTGGAGAAAATATGATGCTCTGAACTTTGAACAAATTTATAAGTAACATCCCAAGTTTCTCAGGTCCCCAGTTAAGAGGAAGAGAGTGGTTTCATTGATTGTCCTTTCGGAGATGAATTTGATCACTAGATTGCATCGAGATGTGCATTACACACTGTGGGTGGTCCCTTTACCCGTCCTTGGCCCACCCAAGTTCAACCTGCAGCTATAAAGCAAGAAGGCTTCCCAGTGCGCGGACATCATTACACATCCCAGGTATGAGCATCTCTTCTCTACCTGAGGCTTTCTTTGGTACCACACAAACTTGCTTGACTGCACACAGACAGGTACCAGGGATATGGGGATAAAAATTTCTGAGGGTACCCCTCAAACAATGGGGCATGGGAGTTGGTGGATAAATGTTGCAGCCTCACATACTCAACTGGGATGATTCTGATTTTGTTGCACGTAGGTTCTCAGAGATTCCTCCAGTGGGAGTGAGCATAAAGCTGCTTATCGATGCCATCTTCCTGGCATCCTATCTTCCTGGCATCATTTCTCCACTTCCTCACTTTTGTTTCTTAGGACCATCTTCCAAATAAAGCATGTCATTTAAGTCCTTGTCTCGGTCTGCTTTGGGAGAACCAAATCTAGGACCATTGGTATAGTAAGTGGCCAACCATCAGTCAAATGACAATGAGGACTGTTTTGCTGGTGATAAGAGCCACGCTGGTAACACTGGAAAGACATGTGGTAGATTGAAATGAGGTACCGATGGAAAAGGAGGCACTAGTGCATGCATTAGTTCTAGTATTTGAAGTGTTATAGGGTGAAGTGTGATTGGAAGGAGTCTGGAGTGAGGCCTTTGGCCAACCGTAACCCAAGGACATGCTGTAAAAGCCAGAATCCTACCATGGCAGTGTTTAAACAGACCCTCATCTCCTGCAGCAAGAAGGCAAACTGTGCTAAACTTGAGGCCAGGATTTAATTATAAGGGCAGTGGAGTTAAAAGAACGTTGAGTGCATAGACATTGCGGCTCTTCTCTGCTAAATTAGGACCTTAAAGCTGAAGGAGTAAGACCCTGATACCAAGGATAGGAACATATACTGGGATTTCCTGAGACCCTCGAGCCTCTAGATTCATCTAAAAACCTCCAGGTCTGTAGAAGCATTTCTTTTACCTTTGCTGGAGGAGGGCAGGCTCCCATTACCTTGTGGCCAGACAAAGGCCTCCTGAAGTGGCCGCCTCACAAGATGATGTCTGCCCACATCAAATTCTGCTTGTGCCCCACCTCCTGGCCTCTAGACCAATAACTAGGCTCAGGTCTCAGCAGAGTCTTGGTGAGGAAATAGCTTATTTACTAGATGAGCTGCATGATGTGTCTAATTTGTATTAACAGGCATTGGGGGACCCCATGCAGAAGTGGATTGGGAAGGTCTTCACTTCCTGTGGAACAGAAGACTGAGCATGGAAGTGTTTATTGATACGAGGGCATTCGCAATGACCCAGGACTTGGCATCTTGTGAAGACCCATGACACTGGCCCTTAATCCTGCTGGGAGGGCTCTTTGAAGGTCTGACATGAGGATGCCACATCAACATCACAGTAAGTGATGTAGAGGTGCTGGAACTGAGGGTCAATTATCAGCAAAGGGGCTGAATTATTATGTGAGTCCAGAGAACCTATTACAATGGCCCCGGGCTGATTATGATTACCATAACCCAGCTGATTCCAGTCCCGAGAAGGCCCAGAGGCCACTCATCACACAAAAGCAATACAGAAGGCACTGGCGAGGCAAGTCCAGCATCACTGAGAAGCTCAGTGGTGAGCTGCTGTCCTCTGAGGGTCCTAGTGAGGGCAGGAGAGTGACTAAG